GGTTGGCATGCGGAGAGCAGGGGGGGCGCTGTCTTCAAAACGAAGACCCAACACCACAATATGGCCGGGGACAACAACGTCGTTTTTTTGCACAGCGGCTTGTCAAACAAATTCTGCGCGCGCTCTAGCGACTCGAAAGAAAACTTTGCGCGTTCCTGTAAGTTCATCACATGCGACCAAACGGGTCTCTCGCGCGCGCGCGTCGAAATCATTGGACCGCGATCGCGCGCGTGCTGGGGGGCACAAGCCCTTAAAAAACAACATGCGGGCCAATCGCGCGCGTCGGCCGCCCGCGCACGTCGCAATCCACTTGAAACCGCCAACGCCGACACATGAGCACTATCATCGCCACCGGTTACGTCAACTTCGGAACTGCTGTCATTGGCCATGTTGTCGCCATTGTCATCGTCGCCGCCAACATCGATGCAAGCATATCGCGTCTGCCGCTGCCGACGTCGCCATGACACCTTGCCCGCCAGAGCCACCGACCCGAATTGAAGTGCCCGCGCGTCGGCGCGGCCTGCGAGACGCGCTGGGAAGTGCTCAGCGGTCAGCGCCACCGCAGTCACGTCGGTCTCACCAGACTAGCTGGCCGCTCTGCGAGCGAGCCTGCGCGCGAGAGCCAAGCCACAACGATCTGTAAGCCAGCGCCAAGCAGTCACCACGATCGCCGCCGCATGGGTTTTGCACGCAAGATGCTGGCGGAGTGGTGGGATGCTTGCATGAGCGAAGGGGTCGACAACTTCATGCTCGGCAAGGTGATTTGCACCGCGTAGACTGCGCAACATACACTATTCCACGCAAGTCCCGCACCATAGATGGCTTCGCATGGATCGCGCCTCGTGTTTTGCTAGACGCGCTGTCCGGGGGCCACGCCAGCAGACGCATTATTGCACGCGCGAAGAGCGAGGCAACTCGCTGGGCTGTGCGGCGCGGTGGGAGGTCGCCCTCGCGCTCGCCCGGGCATGCGGTCGCTGGGCTGAGCGACCAGGCCCTGGGGTCCCTTCAGAAATGGGGCGAATCGGGGGGCCAAGGGACGCCCGCAAGGGCGGTGCTCGAGAGGTGGTACTTGGGGCATGAGTCTAGCGCGCTGGCGCATCCAAATGCGCGCGCGCTGCCCGAGCGCGCGCATGCGGCGGGGCGCAGTCCACCCACTACTGAGCGCCTTCAACGCGGCCCACCTCCAGGACGGTCGCACATCCTCGAGCGTCGGAGTGGGCGCGAACCAACGAGCAGTGATCCCAGGAAGCGACGGGGAGCTCCAAGCTACTGGGCGCTTCTGATGACTGTTGAGAAGGCGAGGTGGAAGCTTCGCGACGCAGAGTAGCAGCGACCTCCCTCTCCACCTTGGGCTTCATGACGGGGATTCGCCGACGGTGCGTCGTGCATGATCGCCGCAGCGGCACTGGATGCCGAACGGCTAGACCTCGGGACAGGGCGCAAATGCACTGCGCGACGGCGCGCGACTCCTCCCAGAAAGATGGGGGCCGCGAGCTAGCGATCCGCCGATGGGGCGAACGGGCTGCGTTTTCCACTTGTGCAATGTCGCGCAGACGCTCGAGGCAGGGCCCCCGCTTGCCCCCGAGAGCTTGACGATCAGGGCGATTCGCGGCTGCGTCGCGGTGGCTTGGGCGGGGCGCGGGCCGGGGGGGGCCTGGCCCCGCCGCGGCAACGTGGTCGACTTGGCGAAAAGGGCACGGCGGCATGCTAAGCATGGGCCGAAAACGCACAGCTCACACTGCGCGATCCGCTGGTCAAGCAAGAAGAACTGGGCTACATGACCGAGGGTGGTGAATGTGGACGCACTGTGAAGACTGACCGCGGCGCCGCTGCCACTCTGCACCAAACTCCAAAATTTGCCCCGCGTCCGCCACTCTCGCCCAGGAGCGAGACATGGGGGGCCGACTGGACTTGAGTGCCCCAAGGTAGTTGGCACGCCCCTCAACCGGAAGAACAGTCACGGGATAATCAGAGATCCGCCAGTAGGGCGTCGATTTGGGCAGTCGCGGCATACCAGGCCCTGTCCCTGAGAGAGGGCACCATGCATTTGCGAAGCATGAGTGGCAGCGACGCGAGGCCTTCCGCCGCCCGAACAGGCTCAGGAATCTTGCGCGGCGCGTCGAAGTCGCGCGCCTGCAAGCCCGCGTCGACTGCACATCAGCCCATGTGGCCCTCGCCAAGGTCGGGCGCGGCGTCAGGATGCTCCGGGAAGGACGAGATTCGCGCCGCCTCGGGTCCATCGCGATTGCCCAGTCTGAGTCGCTGGCAGGACATCCCTGGGCCAATTCTGAATCGATTGCGAACGTGCGAAGGTGGATGCCGTCGACCTTGACAAACCTGTTCGGGACGAAGGAGAACGATCGAAAAAACCTGAGGCAGCCCAGCTGCACATCGAAGCGCACGAGCGCACGGATGAGACAGGCGCGTCCGAGGGGCGGTAAGACGGGAATCTCAGCGTCAAAATAGACGATGCGTCTTGTGAAATTGCGGCCCCCGGCGAAGCCCGGCTGCGCGATGCGGGCGCGCCAGTCGACGGCGGCCTCGACCCGGAAGTTGGCGGCGGCAGCGATGGCTTCGATACCAGTGGCGTTGCATGATCGCGGGCGGGCGTCGCCTGACGCTCGGTCGGCGGGGAGCTCGCCCAAGGCGGGCCCCCCCTCTGGATGCATGATGCATGGCGAAGTCGGATGCGTCGGCACCGCGGGTCAGGTGCTGGCACGAGCAGATGACGAAGGCCAGGTGATCGAGGATGGGCAGCGAGGCGTCGCGCGCGAGCCAGGCGGAGTGATCGAGGGACGCAATGGAAATCAGGACCAAACGATGACGCGCAAGCCCGCTTCAGGAAGTTGCGGGTCGAGGACTTGCGGGGGGCGTCGGTGCTCGGCGCGTCGCCAATGGACATGCTACGCCTGATCTGTCGTCCCAAGAGTGCACGGGCGAACGAGTCTGGCCGAACGCGCCGACGATGCCGTGAAAGGTAGCTGGCGTTCCTGGCGGTGGCGAGCGCGGGGCGAAGTGCCCCCGCTGCGGTGGAGCGTCGCATAGGAGTCCGATTGCGGCCAGTTGATCAAGAATGTGATTCGAAACCCTGGTTCGCCGCGGCGCTTCGGTATTGGGAGGAGGGGGGGGTGGAGGGGGGGGTCTTGCTCCCGACCTCTGCTTAATGCGACTGTTTGCAGCAATGCGTCCAATGGGAGAGGGACTCCAACTGCGCGAAACAGGCGCCCAAAAACAGCCAAGATCAAATCTATGGGGGGGGGAGGGGGTGCGAGGGCCCACGCCGATCGGCAAAACAGTGAATAACAAAAACGGTCACCTTCCAGCGCGGCACGTGGCTGAGTTTGGCGGACTCTTCGGTCGCCGCGACGGCCGGGATGGGGAACGCCATGTCGAGCTCTCTGAGATCGGCGGCGAGAGGCGACTCTTGATGGGACACTCCCGGCATCAGCGCTGCCAGCGCTGGAACCTGCGTGAGAAGGAATTGTGCCTGCTGGATGTGGCTGATGAGGTCGATGGGGTTCTCGACAACGTACGAGTGACGGCGTGATGGGCGGAGCCGGAGCGTATCCCCGCAAGATATGTAAGTTGCAATCGTTGTCGCTGACCAGGGCGCTGCATATGGTGATCCGGAGCGCAGCTCGACGAGACTGAACCATGGAAGGCCGTCTGCCAGGACAGCGAAGGGAGACGGAGAATCTCGAAAAGGCTGTGGAGTGCTGTGGGCCCCCGAGTGTGGCAGCGCGACTTTGGGGACGGTCCTCGGCCCAGAAGCCTCCATCAAACTCCATGGCGACAATGTGATTTCAGCTGGTCATGGCTGCCGAAAGGGGAGGAGGAGGAGGAGGAGGAGGAGCAGGAGGAGGAGGAGGACGAGGACAAGGAGGAGGAGGAGGAGAAGACAAAATGTGAAGGGACAGGGACGGATGCGGGTAGAGAAAAGGGTGGTGGGGAAAAAGAAAAAGAGGGATGAGGGCGGAAGGGGGAGAAGAAGGGTGAGTCAGGGAGGTAAATTAGAACGATATTTGCCACAATTGGGGTTTTCGAAGCGGCTTCAGAATTTCTGGGGGGATCCATTGGGGCATGGGAGGAGGAGGGACAGAGGGGGAGCAGCAGCAGTAGCAGCAGCAGCTGGCGGAAGGGAGGGGAAAGGACAGACATTCGACAAAAACGGAACCGCAATCGCCACTGCAACAGCAAGCAACCGCAACTTCAAGCAATCACTCAGAAGTCATATGACCGTCCATGTGGAGACCTGATGCCCTTGGAACCCAAGTTTAAGACGTGATGGGGCCTGCTGCTGAGAGTTGCCCGACGGACAAAAGAGGGGGGGAAAGAATGCGGAAGAGGAAGGGGTCGAGTAAAGGGGGAGGGTTTCGACCCAGATACCTGGCGCCTCGGCCACATCGATTCGCCCACTTTGTCTGCATTCTAGCCTCTGGAGGCTGGTTTCAGTCCTCGGGACCGTCTACAACTACTCGGGATGTAAAAACAATCCTAAGCAACCCTGGGGAATGGATCGCGAAGTCTTGGGGGCCCATGCATCGAAACAACCGCATCGCCGGATATCTTGGGATGAGCCACCGTCACACAAATCCAAAGTTAGTGCGAATGTGCAGCTGGCAACTCGCTCATGAATGTCCAGCGTTCCCTGCTGCTGCACGTACGCAACTCCGCAAACAAGTCTAATTATGCACGTGCTGCATGTGAACTCTGAGAGGGCGCTGCGGAGCTAGCAGCGACCAAACGCGTCAAGGTCAACAGTTATCGCTGGTCTACTTCGCAAGGAGCACGGCCCTCTTGTCAATGGATTGCTCGCGGCAACTGAGCTGCTGCAGTGGAGGTAAACCAGACAGACTAGATTGCGCAGTGGGCCTGGGCGGACACAGTAGCATAGCTTTGTGAGAGTTGACGAGGAAGAAATCAGCGCGTGCAGACGGCATAATAATGAATACTGCCCACTGTACACCTGATCTTTCCGAGCGCATTGGAAAAAGGGCGGCCTTGGCGAATCTGGCGCCCCAGAACTTCATCGCCTCTTCTTTGGAGACAACCTGGAGAAGAGCGGCTCCACATCGCTGCTCCGCACCAACATGCCGGTATCCGTTGTCTTCTGTCCGGCTCGCAGACTGCGCCGCCAACGACGACATGCTATCGTCATTATCGCAGGGGCCCGAGCCCAACCCAAACCGAATCTTGGCAGGACGTCCTGTACTAAAACACGACGAGCTTCTACGTGCATGGTGCGTGAGTCAGGGAATGGGGGTGAAAGATGGAGTACTTTGCGTCATGGTCTCTAGTGCGTCCTCGGCAAAAGCTGTAAAATGTTGTGCGTAACCTTGCACGAGATGATACGAAACCCCCATTGGCTGGGCCAGGGTGTGCTTGACGTATGTAAGCATTTGCTCCGACCCTCCTTTCGACGCATCACGTGTCTCCTCTTCTCCCGCTCTCCCTCCTGCCTGTTGTCCTTTTGTCTCCTCTCGCTCTCCTTCACTCTCTCCCCACCCATCTGCCTTTTTCCATGTTTGAAGGTTGCTGCTTCCCCTAGAACTTGGAAACATGAACCAATCCAAACAGAGCATCAGCACCTGCAGCCCGCAATTCCCCCCTAGAACAACTCAGCTTCGTGATGGGCGGGGCCGGTTCCTGCAGGAGCCAAACGCAGCCCTGTCGCAAGACTGAACAATCCTTTGCCCAAGCTGCACGCATGTCGAGACGAGCCTACACGCAACACATGTGCACCATACAAGATGTGCAGGTTGAGCTTTCTTGGGTCGATGTGGAGACGACTGTAGACAGACTTGTACGGAAGGACAAACTTGTCCCTGCTCTGACCGCCAGACCTTGTCACCATTTTTGTCTATCTCGGCGAAAAACTCTGTCAACGTCTCCTGTGCATTCTGGAATCACCACGCATAAGCAACGAAAGCATGCATGCATCCACAAGTACGCAGTGGAGCGCAAATGCCAGCGATGGCAAGGATCAGGCAAGTCATTTTCGCCAGCTCGCTGCACATACCAAGACGTCGTTAACAACAACTTACATGTCAGGGCGGCGTGAGCCAGAGATGTCGGAGGCAATTCCATATGTCCAGCCTGTGTGGGTACATTGTGAATGCGTGAGTTATCTATGTGTATATATTCATGTAAGCAGATGGGAGGCACCCGACACTCAAGAGCGCTCCGAAGAGACACCAAGACACACCCCTGATGATTCTGACCCGCGTCAACATCGTCGTCGTCGTCGCTCAGGCCGCAAGGCCTCTCCAATCCATTCTTTATTTATTTGTGTATATATATATATATATGACCGGCAGGTGTGTGTGTGTACATGGACAGATGAGGTATAGATCAGGTGCAACAATGTTGACAGAGAGTAGATAGACAGAAGAGCCCTCAGCTGAAGCTGACCAAACAGAACTGTTCATTGCCCACGGCTGGAGCTGCAGACCAACGACAGTCAGTTCAGTCACGTTGCGCTATCTCTACAACTTCAACGCAATGACAGATCAACAACATTTTGTCCCAACGTCTTCAGCTACGGCACTACAGCCCGACCAGATCATCAGTTTGCATGGTAAGGGTGCAAGGCCATTGGGCGTCCAAATTGAAACCTTGTGAATGAAACATTGCTGAGGATGGGCCACAAAGGCAACCATACGTGCGGTTTGACCGTGCGTTTGTTGTAAACAATCACTCGAACAATTTGCAAAACGTTCAATGTCAACGGCTGCAGCGTGCAAACACTGGCCCCGTACCTGCCAGATAAGTGGTACGGGGTGGCACCAGCCAAACATTAGCCCGTGGCACAGGGATGCCGAACAGGGCCCGACAGGATGAGAAATGCATCAAGCGAGAGATGCCTACTCTCCTGCACAGTGGTGCCCCATCGTATCCTTGGTTGCACACTGGGCAGTGAATGCCTGATACCTCGTCTGGAATGGAGAGCGCCACGTCCGCCGCCCGCCCCCCCCCGCCCCGTCTGAGCGCGCAGCATTGAAAGAGATGCGGCTGCCCTTCTGTCTTGTATTCTTGATGTTGTCTTCCCCATTTCCGTATGCAACGGGGGCCCGTGACAGAACAGGGATCGCCATGGGGGCGCCACAGCTCGGCCAGGGGGGCCAAAGACTCCTCGCAGACGGCCCCGACAAACCCAGAAGGGGGTCTCAAGGGGTCAAGACGGCCGAAGATGGCCCCATGATGCCTCCAAGATGGCCCAGGAGGGTCCAAGACGCCACCAAGGTGGCCACCAACAATGAAAACATATCGTGCTTCAAAGTCATTAGCCCATCTCATGGCTTGCCCCCACGATGTACGAATATCGCATCGGAGCGGCCTCCACAGCCATCGGGGTTGCCCAGGATGGCCACACGATGCCTTCAGGATTGGCCCCAGAGCCCCTGACGATAGACCCAAGATGGCCCGGAGGTGACCCAGAGTTGGATCGGGCATGCCCTCCTACAGGCGGATTTTGGAGGACAAATAAAAACTGTCTTAAGAATGCTCCAAACATGATGGAAAATGGTCGAACAATCGTCCCCTGACTATTTTTTGGGGGGCTATTTTTGAATTTATCCCCCTGTAGAGGGACAGGCCCGACTTCAACCCGGAGGCCCCAGGGTGCGCCCGAGAGGCCCCGAGATGGCTCCACTACTGTTCCCGCGTAGCCGCGGCGTGGCTCAGCCCTGGGGGGGGGCAAGCGGCAAAGGGCGGGGCCCATGCACGCTCCCGCCCGCTGCACGGGCCGTGTGCCATCCGTTAGGGCTCAGGTCGGGCCTGTCCCCCATGCAGGGAGGTCTTGGGCGAAACATTGAAACGATTCTAAAGCTTACACCCAAAATGCTCGAAAATAGTAAAACATCGTCCCCCGACTATTTTCAAACACTACTCTTGAAGATTCCCCCCGTAGAGGGACAGGCCCGGCTTAGGTCAATGCGTAAGCGGCACTGGCTGGCGTCTGGTCAAAACTGCTGGAAATTCCCTCGGGGGGCGCCCACTCTGCGAATAGTCCCTCCGCAGTGTCGCGCCCCGCGCGCGCCTCCACGGCCCCCGGACCACCCCAAGGCGGCTTCGAGAGCTCCACCAAGGCCCCGAGGAGGCCTGAGAAAGTGCCCGGGTTGGCCCACGAGCGCTCCAAGACGGCTCCCGATGGTCTCACGACGGCTCAAGATGTGTGAGCCGCCCCAAGAATGCTTCAAGCTGACCTTCAAGAGGGCACCAAGAACACACAAAATCAACACGTCAACATAGGTTTTCGAAGTGCTTTGGCGCTCTTCCCCTTCGGGCTTTTCCACCACTCCAAGAAAACCCAACCAGCTCCAAACATCGCCCCAACACGGACCAGTAGGCACCCAAGATGGCCAATGGCCCCAGAGAGCCCCAAGACGCTCAGAGGGGCTCGGAAGAGGGCCCAAGATGCCCCAAGTAGGGCCCCCACAGGCGCCCAAGACGGGGGATGCGAACGGGGCCGTCGGAGGCTTCCCCATGAATGTTGCCACAAGGCTCTCAACCCAGTCCCCCAAGATCCCCAAGAAGCCCCAAGAGGTACAACAAGTGTCTCCAAGAGGCCCCCCAGAAGCCCCCCAAGAGACCCCAAGACGCTTTCCAAAGAGGCCTCTTGTCGACGACTCAAGCACGGCAGCGGGTTTGGCCGAACAGCACGAGATACTTCGAAAGAGCCTCCAGGCACCCCCCAGAAAAGGATTGCTGGCATGAGCGCCGCGTCACGGCTATCGGTGCTGCCGTCCACTTCGCCAGACTCCGGGAGAGCCGTCGGTGATACGCCGCTGGCATCATTGGTATCCTTCCTGTGGCGCTGCTGGAACCACTAAGACAAAAACAGCTCTCGGATCCTCTGTCTACCGCGGCGCCATTTCGAAACCTTCGCCGCGAAACCAATATGCAATACATTGTCCCGCGAAATGGCGTCTGGTGCCGTGCGGCGCCATGTCGCGCCCGTGGTACGTGCGGTGCCGCGTAAGCTCGTGTCGAAATATTGACCAAAGGTGGCATCGCGTAGTGCCTAACGGCATCCAATGCCAATGTGGGGTCCGTGAAGGCAGTGCCAAAACCCACCGCCTGTATGGTACTGTGTGAGTCCGTGCGGGAACATGTCGAATCCGACGGCCGTAGGCTGTCGTGTGGTGCGATGCGGTGGAAGGTCGAAGCGAATCACACGCGCATGCCCCGCGCGCCGTGGGAAGGTCCGGGGGACCAAGGCCCGCTCCGCGGCCCAGGGGGGCGCCGCTCCCCAGCCGTGGGGCGCGGCGCCCCGAGCGTCGCCTTGACGCGCGCCGCAGCGACGCCCGAGATGCCAGGGGCGCGAAGAGCCCCGGGGCGCGGGCCACGCATGGGCAGCGCGCGCGCCACGGGCCGCACGGGGGCCCCGGGCCAGAGAAGCGAACGCCGACCGCGCACAGCCACGCACGGCGGACCAGGACGGCAGCGGGGAGAGGGTCTCCCCGCCGATACCGCTTGCCTGGCCAAGGGGCCAGCGGCCGCACGTGGGCGGACCGCGGACGAGAGAGTGCGGAAGGCCAGAAGCGGCGAACGCACGAGCAGAGCCGCCTTCCCCACGGCCCAGCACCCCGAGACGCCCCCCCGTCCCGCGGACGAGGCGGGGGCAGGGGAGCAGGGCAGACGCAGGAGCAGCATTCTTGCCAGCACACAAACGCTGCGACAGTACGAGCACTGTCCGCGCGTTTGTGTGTTCATATTTGCAACGTCGTCGATGCGTGATGTCCTGCCTTGGCGCCTGCTGGCCAATCTCGGATTGGCACGAAACTGGAGTCACATGTGGAACATGCGGAGGTCAGCAACTAGGTCACGCGCCGTGCTGGATACATGTGCGGAGGGCCAGCGTACCGCCCACAAGATGGCCAAACGCTGGAACGACATGCGGCCACATGTGTATGCAACTCTCGCCCAGGCTGGCTGCTTCAAGTGTACCCGACATCCTGGTAGTTTCCCGTATGGCGCCGTATGGTGTGATCCGCCGGCCCCCTTGTGGGGCCACCAGGCTGTAGGACCAAGGTTTGCTGTTCCCTGCGCCAGTTCTAGCTTCCAGTTTCCACTGTTACAGTTCTGCTTCTCGCTGCTTACTGTTCCTTGTTGATGGACCGCGCGAAGGGGGGGGAGCCAAGAAGGAGTCTAGTTACCACGCCCGAGTCGCGTGCTCTGAATTCTTGGGGGAGCGTGGGACAACCAAAACTTAGAAAACTCGCGCCCCCGAAGCCATAAACCGTTTCTGCAAATTGCTCAATATTCGCGTCCCCGAGGCCATAGGCTTTCGTGACTTACACGATATTCGCGTCCCCGGAACCATAAGCCCTCGGAAAACACCATTTTCGTGTCCCCGAAGCCATAAAGCCTTGCAATGTACGCCATACTTGCGTCCCCCAAGCCACAAACGCATGTAAATCACGCAATGCGCGCGTCCCCGAATCCATAAACCTAATAAAACAATACAGTATTCGCATATCCGAAATCATAAACCTTTGTATATGAAGCCATATTCGCGACCCCGAAGCGATAAAACTTTGTAAAGTACACAAGAATCGGGTGTCCAAAACCATAAACACTTGCACATTACACCATACTCGCGTCTCCGAAGCCATACACCCGTGTAAGTTACGCTATACTTGCGTCCCCGAAGCCATAAACTGTTGTAACGTACGCACGATTCGCGTATCCGAAGCCCTAAAACCCTAGAAATACAGCACCGAATTCAACAATATCATCAGAATCTCAATTTGTCTTGCCGATTACTCATCGTCTTCGCGTGAAGTCCCGACGTTGCTTCACGGCGGCGCCAAGGCCTCATGCTTTCGTTCTTGCGTTGCTCATTATCCGAGAGAGGGGGCCGGCGGCACGGGGCGAAGCCCTTACGGATAACGTGTCGAACTGGTCGCATGTAGGCCGTGTGGGTGGCGCGTGGACTGTGTCATGCCAAACGGCGCCGTGAGGAACCATATGACGACGTGACGGGCACATTGCCACCATGGTGCGAATGGTGATGTTTGGTGCAACGTCGAATTAGTTTCCTGTGTGGAGCCATATGGTGCTGTGTTGTACAGTGCGGTGCAATGTGGTGTCGTGCAGTGTTCTTTGCTGGGGGTAGCCCTGTCAGACCTCTGGGCATATGCGTTTCAGCGCAATGAGCTGGATGAGGAGCACGAGAAAGGGGATGACAATTGACACACAGTCGCCAGCGTGGACACTAACAGTAGATCCTTGCACACAAGTCATCGCAACAATTTCGGCATCACAGGGCCCCTGCGAAATAGCGCCATCCCTACGGCACCACGGCTAGAGGGGGGCATCACAACACTCAAACACATCATAGGTCACCAGCTATACAGTACCACCCATATGTCATCTGGGAAAGAACGAACAAACCACAAAATAACAAAACATCAGATGGCAGCAGTCATACAGCACCACCCACATGGCACCAGGGCGAGACAAGGAAACTCGGAATAGTAAAGTGAAACCTAGGGCACCAGGCAAGAACATTATCCATTGGCATAAAGCACCATGGTGAATGCAATGGAATCGCAATACTTACAAACATCGTACACCAACCGCCCATACGGCACCAGGCAGGAAAGCGAACCGTGCACTGGTCATTCCAACGCCTCACGACACAAGTAAGAATCCATCAGTGCTAGCAAGGTGTTGGGGAACGTGGGTCACGAGTATCCACAAACAGCGTAATACGCGTACAGAAAAGAAGGAGGACAAGGAGGATGGCGCCAAGTTGGACAAGCGAAGAACAATCATCAAAGACCGCACGGCAACACGACAGCCTGCCTTGGTGGACTCTGAAAGCAAAACCCGCTTCGCCCCGCACAAGCCCATGGTTCACCCCTGGCCCGCCGGTCTGGGAATTCTCATCTCCTTCCTTCGAGCGTTCGTCGTTAATGGGGGCAGATAAACAGCGGGCGAAAAGAAACGTGTACCTCTCCAACATGTTTCGGGCCGACGGGGCAGCTTAGAGGCCGTTCAGGACCCCTTCGGCCTCGATTTCCGCCCCTTTGATTGTCCACCGCAGCCAAACGCCCGCTGTCCTCTGCGCTAAGTGGCCCTCTCCGTTAGCTTCCGGTGCCAATGCTGATGCCGAGTCTGCTCGGCAACCAATCACCATCACCATCACCATCGCCATCGCCATCAGCATGTAACATGACCATGACGAGGACCATCGCCATGACCATGACCATGAGCATGACTATGACCATTAGCCTCAGCCTCAGCATCACAATCGCCATCGCCATCGCCATCGGCATCATGGCCATCGTCGTCGTCGTCGTCGTCCTACTCCCCTCCCCCTCCTCCTTCTCCTCGTGAGCATCTTCACCCAGGCTACTGCCGAGCCCTCTCACCCAGGCTACTGCCCCTTTCGGACTCCAGTCGCGTTCCCGCGGCTGCTGCAGTCGCCTCTCCCCCCTCCCACCTCCACCTTCTGCTCCTTGTCTTCCCCCTCTCCCAGCCTTCTTCTCCATGTCATATTCACCGCCACCCCCGCGTCCTCCCACGCTTCGTCGCCCTTTTCGGGTTCCGCCTCCTCTATATCAGGGCCCCTTTACCCGGACATCTGCCTCCTTCCCCTGTACCCCGCCCCACTCTGCACCTCGTGGTTCTGCTCGCCTATGTTGTCGTCACAGTCGTGAATGGTATCGCCACTGTCGTCACCTTGCCTGCCGTCGTGATCGATGTAGTCGAGGTGCATCGTCGGGGCAGGCGTGGTGGATCGTCGGGGCCGTGATCGTTAGTGGCCGTGGTCGTGGTCATCGTTGTGTTGGTCGCAGTTGTCGTGGCCGTCGTTGCCAATGTGGCCGCCGCCGTAGTCGAAGATATGATCCGCCTACTCTCCTCCTCACCTTCCACCTCCTCACCCCCCACCTGCCACCTCCCCCTCCTCCCCCTCCTCCTCCTCCTCCTCCTCCTCCTCCTCCTTCATTCCGTGAACCCCCCACCTCCGACTCGCCTCCAGCAGCTTGCGCGAGGGACCGAAGGTAGCCTCGGACCGTTCTGTGCGCGTGCCCCGTCGCTGCCCGTTAGGCCCGACGTGGCCTGTCCCAGGGCGCCTGAGAAGATGATCGTGCGTGCCTGTGTTGGAGGCCAGCCCGTGCCTATGTTCGGAAGCTCCTCGGCTCTCTCACCTCCCAGCTCCCTCCCTCCGCTCACGCGGCCGAGCTGCAAGCATACTGCCGAGGGGCGGACTATGCAGACGGCAGCCAGCCGCATGTTGGCGACAACGCGGCGGTGTTGGCCGCCCGAGCACGCGGGTGCGCGTGCACCGCCAGCCCAGCGTGGAAGGATGCTGGGAACCTGGCGCCGAGTGCGGCGCGGCGACCTCGCGCACAGTGCGGGTCTCAAGGTGAAGGCACACAATGGACGCTCCCGCCGCCCCTCAGACGGAGGGTGAATGGCGGGTCGTCCTTAACTCCTGGGCCGACGAGGCGGCCAAGGAGACACTCAGCCCGTGGCCCAGGTGGCCCCAAAACGAGGCCGCCCTGGAGGATGCCGGCGCTGAGGCGCGGCGTGGACTGTCGAACCTGGGGCGGGTGCTGGCGTGTGGGCCTGCTCCCAAGCCGGGAGTGGGCTCACTCACCCCGCGTGCTCGGCCCGCGACGTGTCTGCGCCCGTGCTTTCTGCAGAACGATCTGCTCGAGGTGACGGACGGCCCCTGGCGGTGCGTTCATTGCTTGCACGGCTTCTGGAGCTGGAAGGCTGGGATGGCCTCCGAGTGTGGGCGCGAGGCGCCCAAGAGCTGGAGGAGCCGGCGAGAGTTTGCGGGTTCCCATGTCTTGTGGGGTGCGTTGATTGGCCCTGAGGGCTGCTGAACTGAGCAGGGTGACTTCTTGATATACTGTGTGCAATGCGCGCAGTATGCCCAGCTGCACACTGTCGGCCTGGCCAGAGCTGCCCAGCGAAGCAGCCTGGTTTTGTCTTGGACAGATGGGCAAGGAGCGGCGGAGCCGCTTCGAGCGTGGCCTCCACCCCAGAACTGGAAGGAGGTCGTCCTTGAGTGCTGGGCCCTCAAGGATCTCGTGTTCATCACTCACGGGGAGGAGAACAGTGCGTAGTGCACCTCTGCAGCTGGCATGCTCGGCGTCCACAGGGGGAGACACAATCCTTCTCTATTCCGTTTCCTTATAAATAGCTCTTCCTTGCCGCACCAATGGAAGTGTCCGAAGGCCGGGCCGGGAGTTTCGCCTGAGACTTCCTCGCAAATTATGGTCCTGAAATGTGAAATTCGCAACAAGTTCAATGGTGGAGCCTGGGTCATTTTCAGAATATGGCTCTCGCGTCAACGCCGCACACTCTCGTCTTAAGAATTTGCTACAACTTCAAGGATAGAGGCGGGCTCGTTCCCAAAATGTGCCTCTCGCCATCACGCCGCGCGCATTCGTCTCAAGAGCTTGCTACGGCTTCAAGGATGGAGGCCGGCTCTTTTTTTCAAATGTGGTTATCGCTATAGCGCCGCGCATATCCGCACGACCCGACCCTCATCACCCGATAAACCAAACAATTTTTCGGCGAACACCCCTCCGACCCAACACCCACCATCCGATGTACGAAAATACAATTCTGCTCATATCCGTACGACCCAACGCTCACCACCCTATATCGACAACTTCGTTTCGACGCACGCCCATACGACCCCAGCCGGACCAACCGATGCAAAAACGAATGCGGTGCACCTCCATCCGACCCGACCATCACCATCGGGTGCAAACTATATCCTTCGGCTTCTATCGATTCGACCCAACCTTCATCATCCGATGTGAGAACTCTATCCTGTGCACGTCCATCCGGCCCAATCATCACCATCCGATGCAAAACGATACAAGTCGGTGCACACTCACGCGGCCCAAACCTCACCGTCCAATGTAACGACATGCGTTCGGCGCGAATTTGCGGATGTTCAACATCGACTCATCCCCTGGCCCCTGCGCACAAAAGGCAAAAGGCAAACACCAATACACCGATCGCAACAGCATGATCAACCGATGCGTTTCGAGCACCCCTCGCCGACTCCGATTCTGGACCCAAGCATTTCCCAGGCTGCCCCAGGCGCTCCCAAACGCTCCAAGACACTCCCAGGCGCGCCCAGACGCTACGCTCGCTCCCCAAGCGCCACAGGCTCGCCGTCGAAAGCACCGGCAACAGCATCCACATCCTCATCTTCATCGTCCTGGTCGCCGCGGGAGGCCTCAAGAAGCAGTTGACTTCAAATTTTACTGACGCGTGGACGACACGCTTGTCACAATGGGGCTCTCGCTTTCCTGGCGACAAAAACCACCGCTTTGAGGAACAGATATAGAGGAACAGATAGAGGGCGGGTCGTTTTTTAAAGAGGCTCTCGCCCTGGCACCGTGCATGCTCGGCACGCAAATTGCCCTTAGCTGCGCGAGTGGATGGGGAGTCTTTTCAAAGATGTATTGAGGTCTCCACTTGGCCTCGATCACATTTCGATAAAAAAGTCCGCCACCTACACGCACTTGACTCTTCCTCGACCCCGTGCTCAATTTCGTGCAACAACTCACACGGATGGAGGGGAACTGTTCTCCCGAAGCGGGGCTACCACGTGAGACGTCCGCGAAGAGTACGTCCACGACTTCGACATGCTGCAGCGCTTCGATGGACGGAGGGCCTGCCCTGTCCAACACGAGGCTGCCCCTGGACCTCCCCGAGGCCTCTCGCCATGGGGCCTCCGAGGAGCATGCGCCCACGAATTTGACATTCTGCGACGCCTGGACGGATGGGGGCCATGTGCTTCTCAAAACAGGGCTACCCTGGGCGTCCTTCAAGTGCAAGGGAGATCCTTTACATCAAGCGCCTCGGCTCACTGGCGGACCGACCGGCCGCTCGCCATTCCAGGGAGGGCGCCCGCAGTGGAAAGGACGGCTTGCGTAGACTTATTGGGATGGGACGTGGGACGGGACGGTGTATGGCAGCTTCGATGCATGGTCGGTTTGCTCTGGTCCTCCTCCGCCTCCTGCCGGTGTTTTCTCCTTGTCCTCCTGCCGCTGCACCACATCATAAGCACCCTCGTGATCCTCGTGACCTTCACTTCATCCTGCTCTTGCTCCCTTCTTCATTCTTCAAATATTTTGGCTAGTACCCATCCCCATCAACAGCAGCTCCTACTCCTCCTGCTCCTCCTCCTCCTCCCTGGCCTCCTGATTCCCTTCCACTTGACTAACCCTCACCCTTCTCCTCCTACTCCTTCTCCGCATCATCCTCCTCCACCCTCATCCGTCTCCTGCCCGTCATAGCTCTGCACCTCCTCCTTGTTATCCTCCCCCTCCTCCCACTCCCCTCCTGTTATTCCTGAGGGCCCCTCCTGATCTTATCATTATCACCATGATAATCACCAGCAGCAGCAGCAGCAGTATCATCATCATCATCATCATCATCATCATCATCAGCATCATCAGCATCATCATCATCATCATATCATCATATCATCATCATCATCATCATCATCATCATCATCATCATCATCATCATTATCATCATCATTAGCATCAACATCATCATCATCATCATCATCGTCGTCATCAGCATCAGCATCATTATCATCATCACGATCATCATACACCCACTCTCACTCCTGGATGTCCTCAATTTGCTTCTCGGTGTTTCCCCCCTCTTACCCTTTATTCTCCTTTCATCATCATCAGCATCAGCATCAGCATCATCAGCATCATCATCATCATCGTCATCATCACCATCACCATCACCATCACCATCACCGTCATCATCATCATCATCATCATCATCATCATCATCATCATCCTCTTCCCCATCATCACCAGCATCACCATCATCATCACCACCAGCAGCAGCATCAGCATCAGCAT